AGGAAGGGATGGATGAAAGACTCATAAGATAGTCAAGAGAACTTGTTAATTGAATATAAAAAGTAAGAAAAAGGGAAAGTCAAACAAAGCTCCCAAGACTTTAAGTTGAGGTAACTATAGGCATTCTATATTTGTGGGTCAGATATAGAAGGAAAATGTAAATCTGCAAATGCATATATAATTGGGGATACTATTCTTATTGTAATTTGGAAAAATAAATATAAGGTAGTAATGGTACTTCTGTAGTTTAATTTTTGAAAATACTTTTATGCCAGGAAAGCTGTCTGAATAAAGTTTTGAATAGCTTTCTGATAAATGTGAATGTGAGCAGCTTATTTTGAAAAAGTTAGACTTTGATTTGGAAGGAGGGAGAGGAAAAGGGTTGGGGGCATATTGCTTTGTAACTAAGGTTTCTGTCTTCTTTCTGGGACCCAGTGGGATGCAACCCATTTTTAGCTTGGTACAATGGTTCTTAGTGCTTACTATGAAAGTAAAAATGAATCTACCTGAGGAGAAGGTACAGCAATGACAGGCCTCTGGCTAGAATAGGATTCAGAATGATTTTCAGCCAGGAGCTGGTATCACTCAGTTACCTCAATAGCTGTCTTGAGGTACTTAAAAATATCCAAATTTAATCCTTGTCTTTAAAAAATAACTAATTTCTTATAGAACACTTAGGATTGTGATAGATTTTTTTTTAATGCTCAAAAGAGAGGAATAATCTTAAGGTGCTACAACTTCTAAAAACTGAAATTAAGCTTTTGCTGTGTTCCTGACTCACAAAATGGTGCCCAAGCTACATTTTATATTTTGTACAAATTCAATTTTCTAATAATTTTCTAAGCAGTATTTTTTCCTGGAGGGAATATGTCTTAGAAAAGGAAGAGAAACAGATGAATCAACAGAGAAAATGGCAGGCAGGCAATTGTAATTACCTGAAAGAACACATACACATTTTTAAAGGAAATTTCTAAAATAACAAAGGGAATAAAATAACTGCAGGAACAAATTCAGAAATACAAATGTTTTATCTAGAAAAACTTTCCTGCTTTTTGAGACTCTTGAATTTTCCATTTATAATTTTTACTTTGTTCAATATTCTTCTGTGTTTAAATAAGATAAAACTAACCAGTCTGGTCCATGGGCATGGTCTGCTATTTCTCTAAAGCAGTGCACCAGAAAAGCAAAACAGACTTGAATATATTATCCTCCCTGTTCTCAGAAGAGCATCACAAACACCTCCAGGTGTGAATTATTGGGAAATGCTATCCTACTGTGGTTAGAGACTGCTGGAGGAAATGGTTATATGGGCACTTAGTAGTCTCTGGTGCTGCAGTGTGTCCTTGGCACCAAAAAGAAAGAGAAATGGTTGTGTAAAACCCCATATGGAACCAAAACTCCAGCTGATATCCATTCTTCGGTGCCAGTAGCCGGGGAGCGTAGGTTTTACTTTTTAAAAATTTCCTCTTCGGTTCTGCTTCTTTCCTTGTGCTGTCTTTTGAAATTGTTTGTTTCATTCATCTTTCTAATACGTTACCTCTCCCTGTGCTTAATACATAACATTATAAGTATATAACATGTACTAACACTATGTGACATTAGGTCATTATAAATATGCATTACAGTGTTTAGTATACATAATGTAAATATATAAATATAAGCATATTATAGATATATAACCTAGCTAGTGCTTCTGATCACATCCCTCTCCTTCTGTTCTTAGTAGTTATGATTACACACAAGGGCTTTGACAAGGTCTAGATTTCTAATTCAAGCACACCAGTGTTCTAGTTTTTTCTCCTTTAGTTCCTCACCTGTAGGCATCTTACTAGGAATCATACTATTTAATAGCTGCTCTGACAGAATGAGAACCTGATCTTGAGTAGGATGTGTCAGAATGCCCATGAATCAAATATTCCTTTTAGCTCCAAGCAAGTTTTTGCTTTCAATAGTTGTTAACCAAAGAAAACTAGAGGTCTGTTTTCTTCTCTTTTTATTATTAATTATTATTATTATTAATCTAAATGAATTTTTAAATTCTTGGGTTGAAATTAGATTTAAACATGATATTTTATGTCTGAATTGGCCATGATTATCTTTCTCTATGAAAGATTCTTTTACTATTGTGAGGTACAGTAATAGGGATATGTATAGAGTTTTAGATACAGCCAATTCGAATCTTTACAGAAAATTATAATCATATTAACATAATTACTAAATGAAAAAGATTGGGCATTGGAGACCTAGATATTTGCCTGCCTCTGTAACTACCTCTCTCTTGGACCTTAAGTAATTTAACTCATCTTACTACCCCTAACAACCTAAGGGTATTCTTAGAAAATCCACAGTGAAAGCAGTAAAGGTATAACAGGGCTTTATCAATGGTTAATATTATTATATCCATTACTATACAATTATTATTCATTACTATTACTACTACCACCACTAAAAATAGTGCATAACTTCAACCTGCCTATGCTGAACAATTAGAGCATATCCATTTGCCCTCAAGAGCAAGTTTTTGCTATGAAAATTCTTGTGTGCAACTTTTAATCTGTCAAATAAGTCTAATTTTTCTTTACTAATAGATTCTTCATTAGGTTTCAAATAGAGAATGGTTGTATTGTTTCAAGACATAGCTTTGACCTTCCAGATCACTTATAAGCTGAACAAGTTATAATATTGGAAATAGGAAATATTTTAGTTG